GCCTTCTCGTAGTCGACGAAGGTGAGGTAGACATCTTTTCGTTGATCTAAGCAGTTTTGTATTAAGGTGTTCAAACATAAAATTGCCTCTCTTGTTCCTAGTCCTCCCTTAAAACCGAATTGTGTTGACCCGCTAAGTTCTTCTAGTATCTTGTACATTCTTGAGTGTAATATCCTAAGGAAGAGTTTCAACAAGTGACTCACAATAGTACTAAAATGTATTATTCATGGCAATGTTTGTAAAAAGATTTAGTCCCCATAACTGTCTTCAATTTTTCGTAGTCTGGACATTGATGTTCGCCATTTGTTATGCCTGGCTTGCAAGATCTTTGTCTTAATAAAAAGTTTTAAATCTTCTGATCCGAAATTTAATATTATTTCAGAGTCCACACTAAACACTTCACTACGCGCACTTAACACATTCGCGACCAACCGTCACACATGTGTGACGGTGAAGTTTTCGTAAGGACTGCTGACACATATGTGTGACACCGAACTTACGTAATGAAATGTAAAATAATTTTACCACGGTTTATCACAGTGGGTCTAAATTTGGCCACAGTCCGCCTAAACAATCCTTCTTTCACACGCTATGGCTGGGTTGTGATTTGGACGTTAAAAAAAAGAAGAAATAACCTGTAAATTTATGGAACGTAAATTTATAGAATGTAAACGTCGAATACGAAAAGTATCGTAATTGTGTATAATTTAGAAAGGTAATATAAAAATGTAACTTATTTATACACCGTCTAATAACTTATTATTTATTTTAGACGTATTAACAATGTCAAAACGACATCTAAGTATACGAGACCTTCAATTAGAGGCCGAGATGGCTAGTAGGGAAGTTAGTGAGTACAGAAATGCCGAAAATATTGAATATAAATTCGAGGAGGACCATAATGATGAAATGTTTTATTCTAGTGGAAGTGAATATTCTCCTTCTCATTCTGGAAGAGAGACTGAGGATACTAGCAATGATTGGGGAGAGTTGAGCAATGACGGCGGTGAGTTGAGTAATGATGAGAGCGAAGCGAATGATGCAAATGAAAATGTGGTACAAGAAAATGATGAGGCGGACTGGCTTGATGTAGAGGAAAATATTGAGATACATCAGTTTACTGAACAAGAAAATAGAAAAGTAGAAATTCCTGTTGATGCAACACCTATACAATATTTTTCATTACTATTTGATGAAGAGCTTTTGATAAAAATCGTAGAGTGGACAAATCACAGACCTGCTTCACGCAAAGAAAACCCTACTTTAAAAAAATATTCCTTTTTAAGACGCTGGATGGATATAAATATTGACGACTTAAAAAAATTTTTGGGTCTCTGCATATTAATGGGAAACATTAAACTCCCCTCCTTACGTTTATACTGGAGCACAGATCCACTATATCACTTTTCAATATTTGGAAAAACTATGCCCAGATCAAAGTTTGAAGCTATTCTTCAAAATATTTGTTTTTACAAGCCGGAAGACGTAGAAGTTCAAGATCGACTTTACAAAATTAAAAACGTTACGAGTCATATTATATTGTATCTCTAAAGTTTACTATCCAGGAGAGAACTTAAGTCTTGACGAAGCCCTCTTACTGTGGAGAGGGCGGTTAATATTCCGACAGTATATGCCAAAAAAAAACTAGTAAATATGGAATAAAAATTTATGAGATTACTAGCTCTGATGAATTTTTACTAAATTTCCTAATCTACAGCGGCAAGGGGACAGTAGTAAATGAAAATGGGCATGCGTTTGAAGTAGTTCACAGACTTGTTACTGAATATTTAGAGAAGGGGCACACTATCTACATGGACAATTATTACAACAGTTATGAGCTTGCCAAGTTTTTACATGAAAAGAAGACCTACGTTTGTGGAACATTAAGAAAAAAGAGACATTGTCTCGTCTGGAATCTTAAATCGCTTATCTAGTAAATGCTAGACTTGCCCTTTTTAAAATATTCTTAGTTTTGAAGTTGTTTTTGTGGAAATTTAACATCATATAAGTGGGTATTATGGTTTCATCGCGGCAGTGTTCTAAAAAAAGTAAGGTCTCGTAAATTTCCTCCCCGTAGAGGTTGATTATATCGGATTTGAAATTTCTGCGGTAGCTATATGTGGTTTCAGTTGTTTTCCAGGTTTGACTCAGCGTTAAATGGTTTTCAAAAAAACCATTGTTTTGGCGACGTTTCGGCAAGGTCACACTTGCCATTGTTAAGTCAGATTAGTTCTGCTTCTTCTTGAAGTTCCAGGAGAACTGATTTCTCGGTCGCTGCACGCTCTGTTTAAATACCTTTTAGCGTTTTCTGTGATTGGTCCTGTGCGCAGAGTAGGCGGGGTCTTCTTCGCTATTTTAATTTCTATCTTTTTTTGCAGAATTGGTTTCCACGTATTTGGGAGTCTTTGGGCATCATCTCTGGTATTCAAATTTTTTGGATGTTTTTCGATCTCTATGGCTTACCTGATTACACGTTTGGCCTTATTTTCGATGTTGGCTAGCATTGTTGTTCCATTTAAATTTATTTTGTGCCCTGTGTTTATGGCATGTTATGCTAGGGATGAAGTCTTCTCTTTTCTTTCGATGACGTTTCGATGTTCTTCGCGTCTAACTTGTATCCTTCGATTTGTCTGTCCGATGTACGATTTACCGCAGTCCTCACACGGAATTCTGTATACACCTTGATTTTCCAATGCAACTTTTGTTTTTGCCTATGGTAATATGGTTACGATTTTTTTGTCGGTGTTAAAAATAGTCTCTATTTTGTTTTTTCTTAACACTCTGCTGATTTTGTCTGTAGTATCTTTTATATAGGGCAGGATAGTTTTTCCGACTGGTTTTTCTTCTTTTTCTGGATCTTTGCTTTTGTTTCGAGATTACTGTGTCTTTTCAATCGTAGACATGGAGAAGCCATTTTTTCTTGACTGAGTTGTTTTGACTTTGTACATTTCTTCGTTCTTATGGTCCTCATCTGCCAGTTTCTCAGATCTTGTTATTAAGGTTTTTATTACCGAATTTAATTGTGAAGGATGATGGTGTGAGCCTGCATGTAAGTACCTGTCAGTATGAGTTGGTTTTCGGTATACTGTATGTCCTATGCTTCCATCTTATTTCTTAATAACTAACACATCTAGGAATGACAGTTGTTGGTTATTCTTCTGTTCCATGGTAAACTGTATTTTTGGATGGATATTATTAATGTGTTGTAGGAATTCATTAAGTTCCTCTTCTCCATGCATCCAGATATTAAATGTGTTGTCAACAAACCTAAGCTAGAGTTTGGGTTTATGCTCTGCTGAGTATCACCATAAAATTTCATCTATGCAACATAATAGTCTTGTAGTAATCAATAATAAACAAGGGAGTATCATCTGGAACTTCATAGCATATTAAATGAGCTTTTTAATAATATGGTGGTCAATAGATCACAATGAACAAAACTACAGTGGAAAATCATATTCTATGGATCATATTAGAAGAAATGGATAACAAATATGACGAAATAGGAACCAAGAAGTATTACCATACTGTAGAATTAAATAACAGGCATGATTATATTAAAATTATGAAAGTTTAACACAAAAGATAAACAATATAGTGGGCATATAGGGGCACAACTATCAACTATGTATACAGTAGCAATAGATCCATATTCAATACATACTTTAAACATATATAACTTGAAATCTTTCTTTGTGGTTTTTAAAGAGGCATGAAATATTATAAAATAAGAAAAGTATTGTGTTGTAAAATCAATAGAGGCTACAAAAGGGAAATGAAGTATTTGGAAATATTGTATTGTGAATATTGATGATAGTTTTTATGGGCTAAAACTAGAATAAACTACAGAGTCCTCTATAGGAGGACTCTGTAGTTTATGATACACTCTATAGGAGTAAATCAATAAGCAAATCAGGAAGACAAAATATTATATTATATTGTAACTGAGGCATATATGAAAAAACAAAAATGTTTCCATAGAGAGTAAAATAGTATAAGAATAAGGAACAAGGCACTGATAATTTGCAAATGGAAAGATTTCATTGACACAATGAAGATGACCCTTTCCAACCAACAACAACAATCTCTAATCATGTGGTGTATAAGAAATGTTTAAGGCTTGAACATAAGTCAACACCTGATCTACAATATTAATCCTGTGTGAATCTATTCTCAGTAAAATCAAGACATATTTTTGCAGTTGATTTACCAATATATAAAAATTGTATTCAGACATATTTTGAACAGTTCCACTGATTATTATACACTCTATTATAATTTTGGTGACAACAATAAAATTTCAAATGTAGGTATAAAAATTTTAAAATTTAAGCTACATCTGTTCCAAATTGTTAATGCTGATAACAGCATGATTTTCCATAAATACAAATACCTCCTCATATGAACACAATATAAGTACATATCAATATAAATATTTATTAATTAATTGATAATGTAGAGTAAATATATTTTAATTAATCATAGATTTAGTGATAAAAGTTAGATGATCTTAAAAATTATGTAGCTGATAATGATGTAGTATTAGTAAACAAAAGGTATAAGGAAATTATGAAACTTATATGGTGGGTAGAAAGTGTTTCACTAGTAATAAAGTATTACAAATAAGCTAATAGTAAATCTATTTAAAATTCAAGATCAACTAGTCAGTCACAAATCTATGTACAGAAATCAAGAAGCTCTCTCAGAATTTATTAATTAAACATGTAGAAGTGTTTATATTTGTTAAATAATGTTACCTTCATATGAGTTTTTACTGGAGAATATATATTTATACTGAGGGTCACGATAAAAAATAAAAACATCAACAATAATTACATTAATAGAATTAAATGTGTACCTTACAAACTATAAATTATTGTAGCAAATTTAGGAAATGGATTTACAAATTAAATAATCAAAGACCTAATAACATAATCGTGCCGTTATAGAATATTAGACCCACAGGAAGACCTTAAAACCATTAATTAAACTTAACTTACCTCAACTACACAAATTCCAAACACTGTCTTCTTAAAATTTTAAAAACTACGATAACTTCTTCGTATTTTTTAAATTTTTCATCCACTGAATTTTAAACCAGGTTAGATAACTCAGAAAGACTGAGTGAAAATACGTGCTTCAGACAAACTACAGACACTAACTGACACATGTCAAGATTGTCAAGCTTCATTCAAAAAAAGCTAATTCAGAAATGTTAAAACCACTATCAACTCTTTTTGGAATGAATCGGTTGTCGTAGAAATCTTTATAACAGCGAAAATAGTTCCATAAGACTTCTTAGATGGCAGCGCATGAAGATCTAGTTAGGAAATGAGATCAAAATAATTAGAGTTGGGAGTAGAGTTGTGTTCTATCTTGTTCTATTATTTTTTATCCTTAGCCTCTGGAGCTAATATTACCTCTGAATTTACTAATATTACTTTTACTTAGGAGATTTAGATTTGTACCATTCATGGTGAGAGGACTGAATCCTTTTGAACTTCTGAGGACTTATGTTAAAGTCGACATTCAGATATTGGATAAATTTCATCCGAAAACTGCTGATTTATATGGTTCAAATGAGTTTATTGTCCAATTCATGTTGTTCTGTTCTAACACCTTTCTGCCACACGCCAATTTTCCTAAAACCTTAAGTTATGGCCTCGAGTTGAGTATGCTACCATGTACCTATCTAGTGATCAGTGTTGTTTCGGACTCACGAAAGTGCATCTTTTAATTAGTTTCTTTCAGGGTCTAATCGCCATTCTAAGTGTTTTCAGCCGACTTAGGTTGCTGTGAAAGTATACTTATATGAGGGTCCATAGAAAGAACTGTATGGGGCCTTGACATTTCTATCTACTAGCAATGCTTTCTCCAAGACTCTCTTTTTGTCTGTTCTGAGTTGTGAGTCTAAATGATAATCGCTTCACTCAACTAATCTTTTAGTGAAATTAAATTTTTTGTCTGACTTCTAATCTGACTTGATTTGTAGGTTGTTATTTGACCAAAGAACTTTCCTGGTTACTGGTGAATCTCCGAAAAATTATTTCCTAACGCCGACATATTTTTGGACTCGACTCTAATTAAGTTTGGTCTCTCCCACAAGTTCTCCCTTAGCCCTTATTACATCCACATTCACTATACGCAAACCATTTCTTGGAGTACCTATTAGCACAGTGCACCCACAAGGTTCCTGCGCTAATTATCGTTTACCCTAACAATTAGATCAAATAGTACAAAATTTCGAAAATTATTTATAAAGTATGTTTTTTTTGAAAATAACTTTATACAATTCTAACTTCGCACCTCTATCTCTAATAAACATAACCTCAAATATATAAAATTGACACTTCGCTGATAGAAGTCTTGTCTTATAATCTGTGTAGAAGTCACTGTGTATCGGTTTTATTAAATTATCTGTTTTGCTTCAATTAGTTAATAATTAAAATAATGGGTACATATAAATAGACCTAATTCTGAACATTTATAGTAAATAAAATATGTTTTAGCGGTGGCCACAGGGACGTCTCTAATTTTATCCTCTATAAGTTCATTGTTAGTATTATCTGGAATGCAAATGTTCAAACCTTGGCTGAATTCATCCCAATTACATACTCTTTTAGGAGGATATTTTGGTTCCCTATTTTTCGTATTAATCCTAACATCCATAGGAAACCTTGAAACCTGTGTATTTGGCAAAAATTTTCAAGTTAAAGTGTTTCCTGAAGGTAAGATATGATTGCCACTGTGGCACTTTCAACAACCGGCATTGACTTTTGAATTTAACTTACTTTGTTTAATTAAACAAAGATCAAAAATTTATATTTTCAATTCAATTTATTGTTCATGTTTTAAATAACATATTTAGTTATTTAGCACATAATTAACCATACTCAATTTGATTTATGTTAATAGTCACTTAGGAAAAAAATTATAAAAATGGCCAAAAGTTAAAGATTATCTTCTCAAAATAAGCTTAAAAGTATTTATGTACAGTTTATACTAATAAATAGACAAAAATGCACTAGAAAACGTATTGAACATTGAATAACTGTAAATAAAATATTTGTGTATTGCTTTTGGATCTCTGCTGTACCTTTTAAGTTTTCTAAGAAACTGTAAATCATTTATCAATCAATCAAATATACATCAAGTGTAGGAACAAGACATTCGTATCTTCTCTTTTTGCCCATTGACCCATAATTCCATTGTTTCTCCAAATAGTTGCAGCAATAAATTGTTTCTTAGTATTAAGGCTCCAGCAATAAACTAGCAATCAATTCTTTGCAGTTTGTGGTTTGGCTGATATCTTGGTTTTCTTGGGTTTCGTTTTGAGCTAGGGAATGATAGGGTAGTTTTTGGGGATTGGTTAATATACCAATCAACAGCAATTAATTAGCTAATAAAATATGCCGCCAAGACGTGCCCTGTATCCCTTTTCCTTGCCGGGATATAGCTATGGCTGTTATAGCTTTACTGTAAAGTTAACATAGCCACTGTTCCTTTGAATAAATGATGTTAGTCTGAATTAGGATTTACAAAATAAATATCCTAACTTTACAGACATGATCTGACCCAACATAGCAGTACAGTCAATGCCAACACTAAGTAACTTGTAATTAAATGAAACACCATAATAATCTGTCCTAAGGCTCAGAAGAGGCAAGGGGAGGTACATTTCCATTATGTCCTGATGGTGACCATACAACTGAGCATTACATACAGGGTGTCTCAAACTTAACATAAGGAAAACATTTTTTCTTCCTCCCGGTATAAGTATAAAGGGGAAGGGAAGAGTAAACCTTGGGCCAACAGTATAAATCTTTTTCTTCTTCTAATGGCGCTAAAACCCTGTGTGAGTCTTGGGCTGCTTAAAAATGTTCTTCCATTCTGCTCTGTTGGATACTTTCCTTTGCCACTGCCTGATGTTCATGGTTTTAAGATCCCTCTCTATGTCATCTATCCATCTTTTACGGGCCTTCCTCTTGTTCTGTTTCCTTGGCCCTTACGTCTCTGGACTGCTTTTACAGCTCGATTATCTGGCATTCTTTCTAGGTGACCAAGTCAGTTTAGTCTTTGGGACTTTACAAATCTAACAATATCTGTGCTCTGCATTAGTTCATCCAGCTCGTGGTTCATTTTAATTCTCCACGAACCATCGCTGCATCGGGTTGGTCCAAATATCTTCCTTATTATTTTATTTATTTATTTATTTAATTAACGGATATACCATTTTTACATAAATATGACGTCAACCTTTACAAAGCTTAGGTATACATAGGTTGCGTTAACACCTTGACGGACACCTAAGTTATTCAAAAATAGTCAATTTGTACAGTGTCCTTTTTGTCGATATTATTACCATAATATATTACGATAATTTACCAGATGGGTAACAGATTGGAAGGTATAGATAGGTATTCTACGACAGTGGATTACGTGTTACCATGTATTTATATTATAAATATAACGCGGTACAGCGTTCTGCCACGATATTAGATTTTGTTAAGGACGCTTCACAGCGTTCTGTCACAACACAATTTAAAAAAAAAGACGCTGCACAGCGTCTCTGTCCATCAACGTGTTAATAAAAAACAAACCAAAATTAAAATCAAACAAAATTCAATTAAAATGGTAGCTTAAGGTATTAAATAACGCTCAAAATCGCTCAAATGATTTCTTAAATGCTGCTGTAGATATTCCAAATAACTCTAAATTATTGCTGTGCTCATTAGCAGTTCGTAAAATTCTTGTAATGGGTTCGTAAAATTATTTTGGCCATAATTCATACTGTGGAATGGAATGTTGAAAATCTCAGTGTTACGAGTTCTTCTAGTATTAACATTAAAACTTATTAAACTTAGTAACTCTGGATCTTGAACATATCCATTTATAATTTTAAAAAGGAATCATAAATCCGCTTGACATCGTCTATCATGTAGTGATGAGTTATTTAGTATTGACAGTATATCATCATATGTGTATTGCTGTCTAAGAAAACCAATTTTGTAAGCACATATCCTCAAGAATTTATTTTGAACTCTCTCGATACTGTAGATGTCACTGTTATATGAAGGAGACCAAATGAGAGAACCATACTCCAAAACTGATCGAACTAAACTAAAGTATAACATTTTTAAAGTTTGTACTGAAAACTGATTACAGTTTCTAAGAATAAATCCTAACATTTTTAAAGCTTTAGCTGAAGTTTCATTAATGTGATTTTTAAAAGTAAGTTTAGAATCAAAATTGATACCTAAATTTTTAATATTATGATGTGCCTCTAAAGGTACATTATTTATATAATAATCATAATTTACAAACTCTCTTGATCTTCCAAAAGTAATTTTAAAACATTTTTGTGTATAGCATGTATACCTCACACCAACTAGCTAAGCTTTTAATGTCATTCTGTAATAAAGAGGCATCAACTAGGTCATTAACTATTCGAAATATTTTAAGGTCATCAGCAAACATTAGAAATTTACTATTTTTAATCACTGAGGATATATCAATAACAAATATATTAAATAAGAGAGGCCCAATATGCGACCCTGAGGTTACAGATACTCATTGAGATAAACAATTTTCATATTTAACATACTGACATCTACCAGATATATAACTACCTATCCACTCAATTATTTTACCTCCAAATCCATAGCCATTTAATTTAGCAATAAGCAGATCATGGTTAACTCTATCGAAGGCTTTTGAGAAGTCTGTGTAGATAGCGTTTTTTTTTTTTTTTTTTTTTTTTTTTTTTTTTTTTTTTTTTTTTTTTTTTTTCACCGCGAGTCTCAAAGGTAGCTGAGTGACATAATGACAGTATAAAAAAACAATATAAGTAAATAAATAGGACAGTTACACTATAAAATTAGTACAGAACGCTGAAGTATGTGTCTAATGAGCAAAAAACGCGAATTACAATTATTTTATTAGTCTTTCAGCCTATTCCTTCATCCTGTCTCGCTCTTTCTAGCGTCTCCTTTTTTTTATGATTTCCGTTATTATTTCTAACACATAATCATAGTTCTTTCTGTTCTGCATAGCTAAGTCCAGTATATTATTGGGCGTGACCTCTCCTAGCTTAATTCTCAGTCTTTGACATTCTTGTAGAAAGACATTACATTCGAAAATGCAATGTTCCGCGTCATCAGTCACACCACAATCCATACAGATATCGTCATTTGTTTTTTTAATTCTGTATGTATATGACCTAAAAGAACCGTGTCCGGTCAGGAATTGTGCAAAGAAATAGTTTATTCTCTTGAACCTACATTTGTACCATGCTTTTACATCGGGTATTAGTATTTTAGTCCATTGTGCTTTTTCCCTTTGCGCCTCCCATTCAGATTGCCATTCATCAAGGATGAACCTGACCCTTCTGTTCCACTGAATTAGCTATAAAATTCGTATACAATATTATGTTCGTGCATGTAGACTTACCCTTAGAAAAGCCATGTTGTCTAACATCAATTAAATTTTTACAATTCCATGTCAAAAAGTTACTTACAAGACACTCAAAAAGTTTGGGTAATACAGATTGGCTACAAATCATATACAAACTCGATAATTCTCAACATCATTTTTATTACCAGACTTGAAAATTGGTGTTAAATAACTAGTCTTCCAAAGATCAGGAAAGATGCCGGTACTCAATGAGGAATTAAATAAGTAGCAGATAGGTTTTACAAGAGTGAAAATGCAATGCTTGAGAACATAAGCTGGCAAACAATCTGGTCCAAGCGATAATTTCCAAGGCAGCTTTAAAACACTATCAATTATGTCAGAGACCTCAATACTATAATTATTCACATTTACACTCTGCTGATAGTTAAAAATTGGGATCTGGTTAATTTTAGAATTAGAATATGTAGTTGAGAAAACTTACCAAATAGATTAACTATGTCTTGAGCATTATCACTTGTACTATCACCGTAGAACATATTAGATGGCAGATTATAACTTTTACGTTTATTATTGATATATTTCCAAAAATGTCGAGGATTAGATAGAATCCCATTCTCAATATTATTCAAATAGTTACTATAACATTGAGAGGAGACTTGTTTAATTTCATTTCTTAACTGAGAAAATCTTAAATAATCATCCCTTCTACCAAACAATTTATACTGCTTATGTAATTTCTTTTTTAAATATATATCTTGTATTAATACAGCCATTTATATCCAATTTTCTAACAACAGCTTCTAAAGTTAGATTAAAAAGTGTTGTGGATAAGGCATCACCTTGTCTAACTCCATTTTCAATATCAAAGGCCTGCGTAATATCTCCATCTATTCTCACCATAGCTTTGGACCCCTCTAGAGTTATTTATATAAAATTAACCAACTTATTGGGTATCCCTATCATAGTTGCTTTAACATCTTTTGTCGATATATTCCATCAAACGCCTGTTTGAAATCGATATACAAGTTCTAACTAGATATTTTATAATCAACACATTTTTCATGTATACCTCTTAACATATGTATTTGGTCTCTAGTTGATCTCTTTGGTCTGAAACCACATTGGTATTCACCAATCATCTCATATGAAAACGATTCCAGCCGGCTGTATTATAATTCCTGATAATATCTTGTAGACGACATTTAAAACTGTTATGCCTCTATAATTTTTGCAGAGTCATTTGTCTTCCCATACATACAATGTATGATTCCTACTTTCCGATTTTCTGGGATGACTTCTGCAGTATCCATATGCAGTTGATTAGTTTATGGATACCCCTACATAGCGCATGTCCAACAGTATGAGTACCAAAGAAAAAGTTCAAAGTAATAAAAAAAAATAGGCGAAATACGTTAATCCATTCATGATAAAATCAACTATTAAGTTTTTATAAAGTGTATTGAAGATTTCGAATATGTGTGAACTGTCACTACTTGTATCATCATCATATTTTGCTCTACAACCCTGGATGGGTCTTGGCCTGTTCAAGAATTAGTCTCCATTCCCCCTATTTTTCGCCCTAGCTTTCCAATTTCTGACCACTAGATTCCTCAAGTCATCTTCGACTTGAGTTTTGAATCTAGAACTTGGCCTGCCTCTCTTCCTGGTTCCTACTGGCTCTTGATATAATAGTCACTACTTGTATAAGGGTTAAATGTACAGTGTAGGTAAAAGATTATGGTAGGTATGGTAAAATTTCACAGGATATCTAATGCAGATATAAAATCATATTTTCAGTGAATAGACAAAGATAACAATAATATTTCCCCATGGTCTCCCCTCCATAAATATTTTTAACCTCTTCCTGGTTCCTACTGGCTCTTGATATAATAGTCACTACTTGTTTAAGGTTTAAATATGTATGTAAAATGGTGCATATGCTATAATACTAACTTTTGTGTGTCTTTTGATATTTCTAATACATTTATATTATTTTTTTTAGTTTTACTAAGTTTAGTAATTGCTCTGGTTGCATCAGCAACCATTCACCGTGTATGTGCTACCTCATGGTAAGTAAAGCTTTTTGATAATTGTAGAATTAGGTATTAAAATGTTTTGCTTATTTTGCTAGATTTGCATTCTAAATAATGATCTTCTTTTTTATCGTTTTCACTGTTTCCATTCATTTAATTTCTAGCTTCATGTTTTATTATCATTTAATATAAGTCTTTACTACAGAAGGTTTCAGAATAGGTGATTGTTACATCCATTTTAACTTTTTAATAAGTTATTTACTTCTTTTTTTATAAAAAGCAAGTGGTACTTATGTGTTTATATTATTAAAATCAGTAAGTATTACTTTGTAATTCCTTCTAACTAGTTTCTGTTTTTATTATTAAGGTCTTTTCTCAAGTATCTTTATTTCTATTTATATCTTTAATGTTATTTATATATCCTATATCTCTGGTTCACCTAATTTTTGTCAATATGCATTTGGGGAATATTTTCTCTAAGTCAAATTAGGTTGCAGCTTTTTTTTTATGTTAGTATTTTTAACTTTTATACTTATTAATGACAATTATTCCAGATTTATTTACCTAGTTAATAACTAGATTCCACATTAAAATTATATAGGAATGTTACAGCAGTGTTTTCAATATTATCAATATTTTCCATTTATATTTAATACATATTTATTATTTAACACATTCGCTACCAAGGTGGTACTTAAGTTTCATCCTTGTAGACCATATATAAGTTAGGTCAAATATTTAAAAAAAAATATTTACTTGTCTGTAATTTATATAAAACCGGCCGTGAATATTTATTTCCTGAGGGATTTTTTGATCCGGCTCATATATGAGACCTTGATCTATCTATAGCATAACCGAAAATATTATAAACCATTAGTCTCATATATGAGGCATAAAAGAAATTTTAAAATTTACGTAAATTAAAATGTAATTTAAAAAAAAAACTTTAGTAAAGAACAAAACACTAGAGAGGAAAAAAGGAAGTTCACATACAAATCACAAACATATGATTATGTGAAAAAAGTATAAAGTATCTACTTGCTGCCTTCATGGTATTCTCGAAAACAAGTTTCCATACATAGCCCAATGATTTGCCAATTTTTGACTTTACATTTTTCCTGGCTCCTTTTCTTTTTTGAGGAGCAAATTTGGAACCTTTTTCATTGTTTTGTTTTCTTGAGATAGTTTGTTCTTCCACTTTAGCACCATAATAGTTTTCTTTTTTCTGAAAATGCTTTCACCTTTGACAAAATTTGTAGTTTACTACCACTTTTGGGTTCCCTATTTGATTTTTGTGCAAGTTTCCTACTACGTGAGTCTTGCTTTGATGAAGGGATTCTGCAAGCTACACACTATTGTAATTGTTATCTTAATACAATGTGTGACCTTTTTTAAAATATTGTTCCGCTAGTTTTGTAACCACACCTTCTACATGACCATGGTAATAAACTAGATGTTCCAGAACGAAACCGTCTGGAACATCTAGTTTATTTTCATGGTCATGTCGATAAGATATAAACAATAAATTGACTTGACAACAAAAAAGAAAACTTTAACAACAATAACCTCAAAAACGCACACCACACAAGTTGCTACTGTTCCAGCCGACTTGTTGATAGTGACATATTATTTTTTGCACAATTAAATTAAATTAAATTCTTTATTTTCTTTTTGACAAACATAGTTTGTATAGAATTAGTCATAAATATACATTGCTACAAACTAAACACTAAACTAGACTAAACAAGACATGAAATGAATTTAAAAGCTAAACGAAATACAGCTAATATCTAAGATCTAAAAAATTCTTAGATTGTATAAAACACTTTTTCACATAAAAATTGCTTAAGATTCCTCTTAAATACATTTATTGAACTGGTGGACTTTACAACTGTGGGCAAATGATTAAACACCTGTAGCCCGTATACCCTGGGCGATTTAAGTTTAATGTTACCTTTTGAAAATGGTATATAAAGCTTATTACAATATCTAGTATTTAAATTATGCATATCACCACTCGTTTTAAACTGATGTAACTTATTAAAAATAAAAACACATAATTCAAAAATGTATAGACACGACAATGTTAAAATTTTATATTTTTTAAAATATTCTCTACAACTAGTTAGTCGGGAGACACCAGCGACACAACGCAATATTTTCTTTTGTATGACGAAAATAGCATTTGCATAACCAGACATACCCCAAAAACATATCCCGTGTCTTAGTCTGGACTCTACGAGTGCATAATAAATCATAATTAGCTGATTTTCCGTCAGAACATATTTTAAATTTCTAATTAGATAGTTAATAGAACTCAACTTCGAAACAACCGCTCCACAATGCAACTTCCAATCCAAACTTTCGTCAATCGTTATTCCCAAAAACTTGCCTGACGACACGGTACCTATTTGCATGTTGTTAAAAGTAAGCTGAAGATTTTCCAAGTATTTTTGTTTATTGTGAAAATGTATAACTTGCGTTTTTTCTGCATTTAGATGCAACGAGTTATCGCAAAACCAAGAATATAAAGATGAAAGAAAATTATTACATTGATATTGTAGGATTACGCTGGATTTGTTAGATATAATAATTGACGTATCATCCACATATATAGTGAAATTTACCGCTCTGTCCACTTGTACGATGTCGTTAATGTAGACTACAAAGAGAATTGGTCCTATTATAGATCCTTGGGGAACACCCATGTTTGTAGTAACAAGACTAGATCTACAACTGGTCACACAATCCTCGATCCTTGTCTGCAGGCTCACATATTGTTGTCTATTGTTTAAAAATGACATAATCCACTTTAAAGAGTTTCCTGTAATACCTATCTGTTTTAGTTTTTTAAATAATATTTCATGGTTCACACAGTCAAATGCCCTACTAAGATCACAAAATATTCCAATAGGACATTCGCCTGCATCAATCAGACTGGTTAAATGAGCATAAAATGCATGGACTGCCGTATTAGTAGATTTATTTTCTTGAAATCCATGTTGATTTATAGTTATATTATTGTTTTTTAGATAACCATTTAATCTCTTTAAATATCCATACTCAAATACCTTTGAAAATATACTGGGAATTGTAATAGGCCTATAATTGCTGACCAGTTTTGGATCTCCTTTTTTAAAAATGGGAACTACTTTGCCTGTCTTTAAGTAATTAGGAAAATCCCCATTGCAAAAAGACAAATTGGTTAGATAAGTTAAAGGATTGATTATAAAAGGTAAAACTTTTTTCACCAAAAATGCAGGTATCTCGTCAAAACCACTAGAGGATTTGTTTTTAAGTTTACTCTGGAGGAGTTCGATCAGTTCCTGCCCAGTAAATGGGTACAATTGAAAGAAATTTTCATGATCTGTAATAATTGACTGACTGTCTTTGTCTACTGTATTACCTGGAATTTTCGACACGATATCAATGGGTGCATTTTTAAAAAATGTGTTAAAAGTGCATGCTACCTCTTGGGGATCTGTTATTATATTATTGTCATCATACATTAAAAAAGTATTAGCATTGTTATTAGCACTTTTTGAGAAATCATTGACAACTTTCCACGTGATTTTATTGGGATTATCAGACGAAGTAATGATTTTCTGGTAATAATCTTTTCTTGTTTTGGTCAAAAGTTTTCTATGTTTTTTCCTTTGTTGTTGATAAAAATCTCTAAGAATTGGTACTGCCCTTGATAAAGCGTGTAAATTTCCTAATTCAAAACTAGACTTTCGCACTTCACTATTAATCCATTTATTTTTAGTTGTTTTGATTTTTCTCCTTGTTAATGGAAAGCTATTATTAAAATGATACAAAAAGATATTTATAAAAGCTTGAAATGCTAGATTAGTGTCTAAGATTCCATAAACATTATTCCAGTTTTCGTTAATGAGGTTAACGATAAAGTGATTTATCGATTCCTCGCCAAATTGTCTTTTTTGTATAAAGTATGATAATTCTGCTTCAAAGTCAAGTTCAGTGGCGGCTCGTGACATCTGCTATAGGGTGTGCTGCATGAACCACGGTCAATATAAAATAATAGAAATAGAATAACATACGAAAACAAAAACAATAAAATTAGCTTTAATACTAATTAATAGTAACTAATAACGACATGCTATAAAAATCTGATTAACTTACATTTATTGCATTTTTCTAAATTGGAAATTAATACGCCGGTCCTTTTTTGTCGCAAACTTTTCGATTACTTTATCGTTAAAGTTCGGTATTGAAGCGATGAACTTTTTTTCTATCGAGAGTGTGGAAAGGGCTGTTAATCTGTCTTCGCACATTGAATTTCTTAAAAATGTTTTGATCCGTTTTAAAGTTGAAAAACTACGTTCAGCTTCTGCTGTGGTCATTGGCGTAGTCACCAGAATTTGTATCAACTTTTTGGTTTCTGTTAATGTGTCCTCTAAATTATTAGAAATTATAAATTTTAGTAAAGGCACTGCACCTTTTAATGTTCTACACTCGATATTGGAATACAAAACTGACAGTTCTGTTCGCAAACGGTTTTTATCAAAGAAGTTATAAGCTGTACAAGTTAAATCCATTTCATTTTCAGGAAACTTATTATTATATTTTTCGAAATGTTCTGAAGATAAAAGTGTTGCGGCAACTAGATGATTTGTATATGCAAACCGTTCTTTTGCATTGTTTATAATAACATCACAAACTTCTAGACAGGCAATACGGTGATCCTGTTGGCTGTTATTTGGGCGTTTCCTTTTTTGGACACTAGGCGCCGCATTTAAATTTGAAGCTTGATGTATGATAGGGTCTATTTTATTTCGGACATTGTTAATACTTTGCTCAAAAACATGTATAGCTTTCTGTGCTTCGGTTGGGTCCATGTTCTTTTTTTGAAGATTATTGTACAAAACGTCAACATGTGGCATAATATAATGAAAAACAGTCAGCCAGAAAGTAACATTTTGATCTTCCAGAATACGTCTAAGTCCTCTTGCTTCCTTGGAAGTAATAGCATTTGACTCTTCTTCTAGTTGCTCCATACACTCAATAATAAAGTCTCTATATTCGTAAACGACATTTACTGTACGAATATTGAAATTCCAGCGTGTAGGGATTGAACGAGGAATATTTTTTCCAACTATTTGATTTAAGACAGCTATTCTTTGAGGTGAATGACTAAAAAATCCAGGTATATCATGTAAATCTCCAAAAAATACGCGTACTTGGGAATTAATAGAACATGCTCTTGACATTATTAGATTCAATTGATGGGCGTAACAGTGCACAAAATGAGCAGTTTCATATTTTCTCTTAATTATTGTTTGCACTCCGCCATGTATCCCACTCATAACAGCTGCTCCGTCATAACTTTGTGCAATGAGCTTATTTTTGTTATTCTTTAATATTGGGTCTAAAACATTCAAAATTGTGTTAGCTAAGGTTTCAGCATCATGTTTTTCTGGAAGCAAAAAAGTCCAAAACCTTTCAACTGGAGCACCGTTTTTTACATAACGAAAACAATGACCATTTGAAATTTCATAGAAACATCCGTTGTCTCATCAGCTATCACTGCTAAAAATGGGGCTTCATTGATTTCGTTTAAAATCTCCTCAGCGTATACTTCTAGCATGCAATCCAAAATATCATTTTGTATTGTTTTTGAGGTACCTTTGAAAATTGTCGCATTTGTAAGGTGTTCACTAAGTGTTTTATCAAGTTCAGCAGAAAAATTCACTAAACCACGAAAAATTCCAGGGTTATCTGATGTTTCAGATTCATCGTGTCCTCGTAAGGCGAGCTCAAAAGCCCCACAGAATTTTATACAGTCAATTATTTTTGACAAAACATACCTGTTTTTCGTCACCTCTTCATTGTGTTTTTGTATATTTATCCAATAAGCAGAGTCAAGTTGGGCCTGTATATTAAGTTTCCCAAATAATGCAAATCGCATTTCATTGTTCATATGAGTTTGCGTGTTTTCATGCTTCTTTATTTTTTCACTTAAATGCACTAGATCCCGCACTCCTGTCTCGCGCCACAATTTTTCCTCTTTATCTGCGCCGAATAATGCACACGGAAAACAGAAAAAAGCATTTTTTTCGGAACATCCACAAATCCACTGATTTCGTAGATACATGTCTTTATTAAATTTACGCGTATATGTTTTTCCACGGCTTTTACCGGACACTTCAATATTAAGATCAGGCATAGGACGGCCACGTTCTTTTATAATCAACTGTTGTTGATAGTGAAGTTTTTGAAATTCATTTACACCTAATTTAAATTGAAACTCCATTGTTTTAAACACGCTCGAACAAAACAAATTAAACAAAATTGTAACCTAAGAATTTCTAAACACGGCACAGATGCAACGGTCACGAATAACTGTCGTGAATTGCAGCTCGCAAACACATTTCCGAGGCCGTTAATCAGCCGATTGCCGAAGCACATCGGCTAAGATCGCCGTTTGCCTAATAAATGCATTTTACCGCTGCCAGTGTTTCGGTTGTTATCGACGCGGCTTCACTGGAGCAGCAAATACGTAAAAAGATTGCTTCACTGGAGCACCAAATACGTAAAAAAATTATACGGTTTCACTAGAGGAGTAAATACGTAAAAAAAATAATATTAATCATCGTTGTTGGTGAATTATTATTAACAGTTTATGTTTAATATGATAATATGGCAGATTTGAAATAAAACTATATTAATTATTCTTTAATAATTAAGATTTGCTATGGTTGTTTGGTAGTTCTGCAGCTCAGCAGCACATAAAGAAAAGCCGCCACTGGTCAAGTTCCACTAAAACCGTTCTGTGATCTGATACAGTGTTGTCAAGTACACATGACAAACCGGAGTTCGAGAAATTTACAAATACATTATCTAACGTTGTTACGCTGGTATCCGTGACCCTAGTTGGCCAATTGACAAGATTAAAATTAATATTAAAATTCAGTAAAACATTTAGTAGATTAACATGGTCGTTAGTCATATGTCTGGTATCTACATTAAAATCACCACATATTACAAAACGTATATTTGGTTTATATAAACAATTTAAAATACCTTCGAGGTTATTCAAAAAAATACTTAAATCACCAGATGGTGATCTGTAACAATTTAATATAACATATGAATTATTTTTCTTGTCTTTGAAAGAAGTAATACAATATTCAGAATGTTTATCAACACAATATTGCTTTATCCTAGAGTTGAGTTTGTTATTAAAATTAAGACCTTTTCCTCTAATCTATAATTATTACATGTCCTGCACATACAATATTCTGCCCTTTCTCTTTTGATTGCTAAGAGCACAGATATTTTATGTATGGACATTCAACTTTATAATATATTTATGCAATGCCTGTGCAGGATGATAGATTGCTAGGAGATCATCAGGGTACAGTGCATAACTCAATAATAGAAAAAAATGGACATGCAATAAGTGTGCTTAAGCCACCGATATATAAGTCGCTTGGTAGCGAACGTGTTAAAATTATTAGTGTTTATTTAAATTGATTTCTCTAATCTTTTTTTTTTTTATTTTAGTTTATTGCTCTCTCTATGTGCCCTCTACTATGTAAATAAGTATTCACAAAAGGTATACAACCTTCAAGCTCCTCCAGTCATTGTTCAGACAGGAAAGAAGAAAAGACATTAACACAGTGTTTTGTACAAAAATCTGAGTTGTAATTATTCTGTTACTTTTTAAGGTGTACCTTTTGTCACAGTTTTTATAATGTATAATTTTTTCACACAAACATTTGAAGATCTGATATTATTGTAGTTTTTATATTAATTTTTAAAAAATGCTACTAAATAAATGTTTCACTCAAAGCTTGCAAAAACCTTCCATAATCCTATTGTATTTTAAAAATCTTTATTTACAAGCATTTAGCTTCATTATGAGTGATGTTAAAACCTTACAGCTTTAAGTTTTCTGTGCCATACTGTTGTGAGTTTTCACAGTGGGAGCGTTGACCTCGGCATCCTACATCGCCATATCTATCTATAGTGTATTTTTATGTATGAGATATATGAGATATAATAAAACAATAAATTATGTATGCAAATCCCTAAACTGTTGATACGGGTGACTCAATGAAAAACAGATATTTGTCAACAAGTTTACAGAAGTATATAGGAAAACAATTTTAAATTGAGTATGACCACCAGGTATAAAGGTTGGAGCAGAATAGAATACAATAGTTGTGACGGTTACTAATCCCTAAATAAGGTTGCCAGTGTCGGAGTGATGGAGGTTAACAGGTACTAATGAATTTGCAAGAAATGTAAGATGTTTATTTTATTGGTTATACATAACCAATAAAAGTTTAATAAGTACCTACCTATTTGCAAAATAAAGTTTAATTTTTTAGATAAAATAAAACGTTTTATTTTATCTGAAATGAGTGCATTCCACGAAGTAAGGGTTTCAACAATCAAACATTAGTTCTTTAATTCCAGGAATCTACGACAGTAATTGACTAGATAATTACCTTCTAAACTTATTCCACAGAAAATGTGATAGTGGGTTTTTCCATTTTGTAGGAAGGTCCAAGTGGCGTATTCAAAATTCTTAACAGTTCACTAAAAGTAGGTACTTCAGTTGCAAGGTGCAGTTTATTGTGTATACTAGTGTTATGGAAAATTTGTAAGTGCCGTGTAAACGCCGAAAAATTGGTCCTTTAACAGTTAATGAAAAAACATTAATATTTAATTGTTTTAAATCATTTACAGACAAACGTTTATGTGAAAGTGTTGATGAGACCGTTGAGTTAGTTAGCAGTACACTTGGTGTTGGGAAATCTACGATTTACAGAGTTATTAAAGAAGAGAAATGTGGTAGTTTTCAAATGTCACGTAATGCTCCAGGGAAACCAAAATTTCAAATAGAATATCATTTTAAAGAAGGACTTCGACGGAAAGTGCATGAATTCTTCTTTAGACAAGAATTTCCAACATTGGATAAAGTTCTTGTCTCAGTTCGAGATGATAAGGATTACCCAGAAATGAGTCCAAGTACGTTATGGAAACTTTTAAAAGAAATAGGCTTCCGCTGGAAAAAGAATCCCAGAAAGTCTATTTTATTAGAAAGAAGCGATATTGTCATATGGAGAAGACATTTTCTAAGAACCATAAAGGAAATGAGAAACCAAAAAAGAAAAATATTTTATCTTGATGAAACATGGATCAACGAGGGTCATACACCAAATAAATTTTGGCAGGATGAAACTGTTATAAGTCAAAGGCACGCTTTTGTAAATAACTTATCTACTGGTTTAAACCCACCATCAGGAAAGGGACGCAGGCTGATAATAGTACACATTGGCAGTTCAGACGGTTTTGTTGAAGGTGGTTTATTAACTTTTGAATCAACTCGTACCGGTGACTACCATGAAGACATGAACGCTGATGTCTTTCAAGAATGGTTCGAACAAATGATAGATCTTTTTCCTAAGAACTGTGTAATGGATAATGCAAGTTATCACTCCAGACTTATAGAAGGACTGCCCACAACCAAGTGGTTAAAAAAAGACTTGCAGAATTGGCTGAGTTCAAAAAATATTACGTACCATCCCGGATCTATAAGAAAGGAACTTTATTCGTTGTGTGCCCTTCATAAAGAAAAATTTAAAAAATACGAAATTGATGAAATTGCCAAAAATCGTGGAATGACAGTACTTAGATCCCCACCATATCATTGTGAATTATACCCGATTGAACTGGTATGGGCACAGATAAAGAGTGAAGTTTCAAGAAAAAATACCACTTTTAAAATTCATGATGTTAAACAGTTGTTTTTGGAGGCCGTAAATAATGTAAAACCTGAAAACTGGGAAAGGGCAGTAAATCACACTATTAAAGAAGAGGAAAAAATGTGGAAGCTGGACAATATTACTGATAAAATGATCGAGCCAGTTATTATAAATCTTGGTTCTGAAAGTTCATCTTCTGAATCTGATTTGGATTTGTAACAAGTAGCTGTAAGTTTTATATTAATATTTTTATTCATCTATTTAACATACCTTAGATGGTTTTAAAAACTCTTTTTCTCTTTTGTAATTTTTAAAAATTGAAAAAAATGTGAATTTTTTAAAACCCTTTTTAATGTAGGCCAGTCAGTTCTAATATAGTGTGTGATAAAAGAGGTCACTTTTGTTTACATACACATAACACTTTATAACACTGAAATAATTCATTTATTTTTTACAATTATTCAAAGTAATTTTTCAATTAATCTTGAGCACGTCCATGGAGTGGTCGGAGGTACCAGTTAAAATTATGCTAATTACTCTTTCGTTCATAAAAATAAACTATAACTGAGTTTTAGTTTATCCTATTTTCTCATACCCACGTTGCATAGTTGTGATCTTTCTATCCTACTACTTGTTTCTTTTACCTGGGCATGCCCTACCTATGTTTGATTGTAGTAATATCTTTTTTACCTAATTTTTGACTGCAAATGTTCTGTAGCTTAAAGTTGTATTTGCATCTCCCATGTTGTTTGCATAAACCCTAGCAAATATTTTGTATCAAATTTGGTTAGAGTCCATACTTTTAATAGATTTAGGTAATACTTTGATAGACTGTGGTTCAGGCTAAATCTGGGGGCTATGGTTCTGGAGTTTTCAAAATCAATTTTGTGACCTGTATGAAAATGGTGTTGACCTAGAGCTGAAATTGAATAGGAATTGCGAATAGAAATGGAATGTTCATAAATCCTATTTTGGATTCTAGGATTTGTTTGGCCTATATAAAATCGGGGGCAGTCTGCACAAGAAATTTCATAAACTCTGTGTTGTTCATTTGGATTTCGTCTTTCATTGATCGTACAAGAGTTGAAAGTTGTTGGGGGGTAAATATTGTCTTTATTCTTCTTGATTTAAGAATTTTGTCCGCGACACCTTTGATATAACAAAGAAACCTTGGGATTGGTTTTTCTTTATAATAACGTCGAGAAACGATAGGAGTGAATCAGTTTCCACCTCCATCGTGAACTGGATACTAGGATGTGTACCATTCAGATAGGTTTGAAAGGACACCAAAACATCCCTGCCATGGGCCAAATGACGAATGTATCATAGCCAACATGTGAGTTTGGGCATTGATGTGAATAGTACTCAAGTCTGGAAGTCTTCCATAGAGATATTGGTAATTACTGGAGATAGTGGGGCACCATTTAATTGTCTATAGAATTCATTTTGGAAGATGAAATAAGTGTTGGACATACAATGTTTAGTGAGGGATGAGTGGTGATGTTGGATACTGTATTTAGTTTTCAGAGTTTCGTCTATAGAAATGTTTGTAAAGAGTGAACCGATGTCGAAACTTACTACAATGTCTGACGGTGAGATAGGGTATTGTTTAAGAAGTTCGATAAAATAAAAAGAATAAAGTATTTTCGAAGAGAGATTGTAGAGTTTTCTGTCCTGAATTGACATATTGAACGATGTAAGGGTATGATGCATTTCCTGTTCCTTTGAAAATAAAAAAGAAAAACACTTCTTAGGATGTATAGACCAGTGAGGGAAGGTATCTCGTGGAGAATTGGAAGTTATTTGAAACCTCAAACATTTGATAGGAGTGGAGAATAAAGTTATATGTGTACAGTCGAAAACACTGCACGTGATTATGGAACCCTGTACCAGTTTGAACAAGTCTAGTGGATGGGTATCATATATGTTTGGAGTGACTTGGTAGTTTCGACAAAGTATTTTTCACCTGCGATCGATTGCCTCAGGGTATGGATGGAATTTTTGCTGCTCGACTACACAGTCTGTAAGTGTAAGGAAGCTTGTTATGATGCTTTCTTGTTTTCCACAGCATTTGACCCTGTTGTCATGTGCATGTCTATCCAATATACATTTTGCATGTGCTTGCTCGAGTGGGAGTTACATGCTTTTTCCGGTCGTGACATGGCTTTGACACGTGGAAAGAATCCCTCCTGAGAGACCCCAGAGAAAAATTTTGTATAAAAGAATGGATACCAATGAAGCGATGGCTGCAAGATATGAAGGAGGACTTAAAGCGATGCTGACTAGTCGGTGGAGAGAGGAGACTGGAGGTAAACTGCAAATGATACTTACAGTACGGCTTCTACAGTGAAGCATGATGACAATTATCAGGTTGACTGCGTTCACAAAATATGTAAACCTCTAAACTGTGCATTACCGGTCCCCCGGGACCGGTGGCTTGGCGCAAACACGGTGCGTTACCGACCGTCGGGGATCGGTATTGACGTAATTATTTTTTTGTTTCTACAGTTTTACAATATAAATTATAAGAGTTTTAAGATCAATTATTAAAAGTAAAAACATTTAAAAACTTACCATTGTCATTCGTTTTTTGATCAGGTTTCCTGTTAAGAATATTTTTGAAGTGTCAAGACAGCTACTATTTTTTTACAGATTTAGATTAAAAGAGTAAATGATACAAAACTTCTTAATATTTTATTAGTGTAAATGATATTTGAAAACAAAAAATATGTCCTAAACTAAATAATATGTTATTAGTTATTGAACAAAAAACAATAAAGTTTCAGGAAATTAAACAATTTTTTCTTAATTGTTAAACAAAAAACAATACAGTTTCAGAAAAATAAACTATTTTTTATGAATGCTATTAAAGCAAGATAAACACATTCCTGGTTGACCAGGA